AGATCTTTTTTTTTACCAAGCTTTGTTTTTTAACACTCAATGGCTGAAGGAGGAGGAGAAAAGGATTTGTGAGTTGGGATTTAACCTTTGGATTAAACTCTTTGTCAACAAAGAACGGAGGATGGAGTTTGTCTTTAATTGAACAGCATTCGGTAAGTCAACTGCGTTTGTTTTTTTACATCTAAAATCTGAATCGCCCTCGAGTGTCTCGCAGAATGCATGTTCCGCTGCAGGTCTGCTGGATTGATTTGTTGCTTTGTTGTCATATGAATATATGTGACTGGTTCTTGTGAGTTTGTTGTTGTCATTGTGTTAATTATATAGATTTGGACTATATGCATTGTCCGTTAATTAGGAAGCATACCGTCATGCTATTAGAGTTATTATTTGTTAAGATAGTTTAGCGTAGCCTCCCAGAAGTGCGGGGCCTCAGCTGTCTTTTGTTTTGTTTTTTTTGTTCCAGGTTCAGAGGTCACAGTCCGTTGTCTCCTACGTGAGCGCAGTCCACCGAAAATATTATATTTCCCACAATTTAAGCTTCTGCATTTTCCAAATGCACTAGTATTATTCAAACATATTGTTCGGTTCATAAGCCTTGTACCGAACGGTTTAATACGAATACGTGTATTGTTACACCCCTAGAAACAAATAACCGTAGCTTGAGATTAATGAGATTATTAGGTGGTGTTTCAGCTGCAGGACAGCACTGAAGGGCCAGGTAGAAAATGCACGGCCCGCCACTGCTGTCACCACATGCACAGACCACATGCACAGAGCAGCTGCATGTATCTGATAGCTCAGCAAGAACTCATCAAGAGCTCTGGTTCATTCTTTTATTTTCCTCCAGTCCTCTTGTGGGTTTTCCTTAATTCACAAAACTTGTATACATTCGCATCTTTCCATTGACTTTTACTTCCTCTAAAATGTGCCTCATGCTCAGTCTGAACATAATCAACAATGTAAAAAGGGATGAGCCAAATATCTCAAGAGCCTGTAACGGTTTGTGTATTTGTACTGAATCGTCATGTTAAAGTCTGGTGCACGCAGAACACACGGTATGTAGATTTATACATATAATGTGGACGCAAACTTCAAAACCACTTGTTCTGCTTAGGAACTTTTAGCCCTGTGCCATTAGCAGCATGTGCTTTGGTTAGCACAACAAGCGGATTGGGGACCTGGAAGACATCCCTGCAGGTTCCTAGTGGAACTAATTGAAACACTCTTCATAATGCACAACTTTTGTATTTTGAATTTCATGACATAATAAATGCTTTTCAGTTGTATAGCCTATTGTGACTTGTTGCCTTTTGGGAATTTGTTTGATTAGGGTTCGTACAGTGTAATACAGAAGAATTTGAATTGTTCCCTTTTTTTAAAGATGCTCAATCGATCGGTGACTGCTTTTATTTTGAGATTTCTTTGATTGACAGTGTGAGATGTTTTGTAACTTGGTGCAGTTTTGGAGAAAAGGTATTTAAAAGTTAATGTTTACTATGAACATATACAATAGATTTTTCCATTGAAGAAGAGTTACAAAAGTGTTTGTGTATGCTGTCAATTACAGTTGTTAGAGAGAAAGATCAGATTTGGCAAAAATAAGAATCATATATTTATTTTCAGGACAGACATAAAAAAATGTGAATTGAAAAATTGCAATTGGTATATCTTTGCTTATTTTTATAATCAAATTAGTTTACGAAAGTTTAATGGGAAAAATCTTATCTCAGGAAACTTGGACTACTTTATGAAAATAAACATGCATTTCTGGGTTTTCTCTGCTGTAGGCTACTGAACTCGCACCGAACCGTGACCCCTAAATTGGGATAAACCAGACCGTGACTTTTGTTTGTCATTACACCTCTTCCAAACGCTGCACCCCCCTTAGCATCTTTCAGCTCACGGTTTTGGTTCAGGCCGACTGATCTCATCATTGATGTTTCCAGATGCAGTCGGCAGCTATTTTCAGTGTAAAAGTCTGAATAAACCCAACCCCAGAATTTTTGATAGGAATCAGATTCGCAACTTGTGGGTTCAAAACCTTTTGTTTACCATGCTGCAGATAAAAAAATCCTTTTTCCAGAGGAGTCTTTTAGAATTCTGTAAATACATTCAGAAAAGTGTTAAATGTTGTTAAATTACCTTTTGGACTGGTGTTTATCTTTTAGAGAAACGGTTGCTTAGCTTATTTTATAAGATATTTTAACGCAAACCACGATCTTTTCCTAAACCTAACTAAGTAGTTTCATCGCCTAAACCTTAGTTGTTTCCTGTGAAGATGGAAGTTTATTTTGAAAAGACAGTATGCATGTAACAAGCGAAAACAGACTCATGTTGCAGATTCAGCTTGAGCAAAACCTTTGCCCATTGTGTTCAAATCAGGCCCATAGGAGTTTACAAGGCAGGTGTCCTTTCTCACAACACTGACCTGATGCATCAAGTGGATATTTTTTGCTGAACACAACATTATGCATTTGCCCTCTACATCTAGTCGGAATGAGCATACTTATAAACGCACTGTTACAACTCCTTCATAGTGTCATATTGCTTTTAGGAGAATTATGATGATAAGTTCATAGTAGATGCAAAAGTATACTTATGTACAATATATTATGTTGAACATTGTTGCTCCTGGATGGATCACAGCCAACCCAATTATTGTCAACACAGCTCCATGTCCTTGTTCATGGTGCCACAGCACTTAAAAGAATAAACTTCATAATTCTCAAAATTCTGACCCTTTGCTTTTTTATTAACAGCATTTACTTGTACTTTTACTTTCAATACTTAAGTACATTTAATATCAGAAAATTACTTTTGATACTTAAGTACAATAAATATCAGATACTTTAAGACTTTTACTCAAGTAGTATTCCAATAGGTGACTTTTACTTTTACTGGAGTCATTTTCCAGTAAGGTATCTTTACTTTTACTCAAGTATGGCTTTTGGGTACTTTATACACCACTGGTCACTCCCAATAGTAGTATTTGTCTTGAGTTTGTCGTGACCCTGCCTCTCTGGTTTCCCATCAGTCCCTGACAGCACCACACTCAACCAGAGTCTCCCCATACAATGGGGACAAGGCTCGCCTTGTCTCAAAACCAAACTATGTGTCTTAACTCAATAAGGCAAACTGGGAAGGGGGATGATTTGAGAAACTGTTTATTCTATTCATTCCAAATCAGTCTACTCACATGTAATACTCTGTATTATTATCTCTCTGCATTTTGGTCTGGTGTGAGCTATGTAATTCTGTTGGAGTATACTCGGGCTGATTATTGTTTAAAAAACTTGATGCCAGTACTAATACCGGTACCCTTTATACTAAAAGAGTACTTTGATACTTTGCTGTTGTTAGTGCTACTCGCCCTGTTAGCAACATTAGCTGCTAGCTGCTGGCTCAGACATGGAGGCAGGTATTCCTTGCTATATGGGTTGTAGCTCTTGCGGTAGTGGACCAATCACACCTTGCATTAAATTAAAGAACGCTTTGCTGCTAGCAAAATCATACAAATATTTTTTCTACATTTGGGCTCAAAAGGGATAAATTGCAGGTATCAATTGACTAAAGAAGTTGGACACTACTTGGTACAGGGATAACAGAAAAAAGAACATGAAAAAGCAAGAACATCTCACAAGGGGAAGGGTATTATTAATTAAAATTTGTATAGAGCAATAGCTTGCTCAGTGGGTTGTCTGAATAACATGATAGGTTGATGGCTGACCGAGGCAGGGAAGGGTCCAAGTTATTACAGTATCTCAATCTCTATTAGATTTAATCTCAGTCAGGGGGCCAAACAGTGATGTCACTGTTGACTTATATACAACAGGGCCAAATAGCTATCCAGTAACGCACACACACACACACACACACACACTTGAATGCAGAAAGGAGTCAAGAATAAACAGAGTTACAACACGCATGCTGTAATCCAGCCATTATTTCACTGCTCATCATTTCAGCACATGTTCACTACCACACACTCCCTCTCCATCATCATATCTCACCCTGATAAGAGTCTCATAGCTCAAGACGAAACCCTCCCACTGGATTTGTCCACTGCGATTGACTGATTTTAGGGTCATCTGGCCTGCATACTGCCTCGCAGTCCAATACAATGAACAATGCTGTGAGGAATGCCACTTTTCGTCTGCCCATAAATACAGGGGTGTTGGTGGACCCTGCAGCCAGAGCAGTTGTGAACCACTGTCCTACATGAGTGCAGCAAACAATACATTTCCCTCAATTTAAGCTTCTGCATTTTTCTAATGCACTAGTATTATTCAAACGTATTGTTCGGTTCGTAAGCCTCGTACTGAACGGTTTAATACGAATACGTAAATAGTTACAGTCCTAGAAACGAATAATAGCTGTGGCGCCATCATGTGGTCATAAGGTGGTATTTCAGCTGCAGGACAGCAGTGAAGGCCCAGGTATAAAATGCACGGCCTGCCACTGGTGTAATTTAAAAGGACCTTTGTTTCCAGCAGCAGTCAGCTGTTTTGTATTTTGTAAAATATACAATACTAATAGTGATGAACCCACAGAGAATTATCGGACACTGTTAGCTCTGTCAGTACTGTTGGCAGTACTGTTGCTGTTGTTTGCACTGTTAGCACCGTTAGCTCCTAGCTGCTGGCTCAGTCGTCGCCATGTTGAGAGCCGTGTGGAGGCAATCCCTCAATCATAGCTAGGCTTTGAACTTCAAATGTAACACGTTTAAATGTATAAGCCAGGCTTAAACTCCATTTGGGGTTAGCATTACAATGGGATGCGGCTAATCAAACATATAATTAAACAATATAACTAGTATTATTTAATATTAATTCACATAATAAAAGTAAATTAGTTAGTGTAATATTTATTAAATAACATTAAACAGTCTTCAACATAACATTATTTGAGTAGACTACGATTTGATATAGTAATAAAAGATAAAAATGAACAATTCAAAGAAAAAAAATAACTCCTCATGCTTAATTTATATTTGTATTTTGTTTCTAGCAGGTCGGGTATTATAAATAATAATAATAGTGAAGATGTGAAAGGAATTGTTTTATTTTCGATGGTTTAAATGCATCATAACTATCCATTCAGGCAGTTTGAGGGCGAGAGAGCGCCAGGGCTTGGGAGACATTTGGAGAATCAGAGGGGAGGAGGAAAGAAGAGGAAGGGAGGAGGAAGGAAGGAGGAGAACGATCCGGAGAAAACGTTTGAAAGGAATAGAGAGACGTTTCAGTGGCCGGCTCACTAGAGAAGGAATAAGTGGAGGCTGAAAGTGAAGCCTCACACGGTTTAACCATTAAGGTCTCTCTCTGTGTGGATTTTACTGGTGCCGGGGAGCCGCTGGGCACGCGCCTGCTCCTGTGTGCGTCGTCGGGCGGATTCGATGAGTTTGACTTCACGATGAGGAGCGAGCCTCTTCTGTTCACTTCCAGCAGGGGTGAGTGCTCCACCTCTGACCGTCACTGTACCGTCACGGTACCGTGTTTTTCACTCACAAGAACATTAGGGTTAAAGCGCGTGCTAGGAGTCTACATTGATTTGTATCTATTTTACTTAATATCCTACAAAACACAAACATGCCCTAACCAATGTTAACCTACAAACGTCTGTCATCTTTCAGCGCTCACAAGCTGCTCGCATCGAACAGTAGAGTTTGAACGACCGTTTGTAGCTATATTTCCGTCTCGTTTGCCGATTAATCGATAAGGGTCTTGCAGTGGTCACTTGTAATGTTTCTGTGGTATTTTGAATATTGTACTTGTGGCCTACATGTAGTTTTTTTCCCGTGTTCTAACACTTGTATTTACTTTATTTATACAATGCTTTATTGTAAAATTGCTGAAGTTTATTTTATTTGACAATATAGTTGGATCGGCATTAGGCAAAGTATCTGTGCCACGCGTGCACACACGCACGCAAACACCCACACGCGCAGAAAAGATCCATTTAGGGTGAAACTATGTAAATTAGAGCACATCCACCCGACTATCGAAAACAGCAATTCGACTTTTTTGGTCAGAAATGAGACGAGCCAGTGGTGGATTTAGGATGAAGAAGTTTCAAATGAACAACGTTGTTAGAAGTTGTAGTTTGTGTGTATGTGCTAGAACAGGGGTCAACCTTTACTATCCAAAGAGCCATTTTGCCCTATTTTCCACTAAATCAAATTAGTCTGGAGCCGCAAAAGCTATTTGATGTCATAGCTTATAAAGTTTTATATAAAGTTATATAATATATACAAAAACTATAGTTTGTTGTATTTATGAAATTGTAGAACAAGAATAAAGACATCTCTTGACATTTTATTGCAATTTTCAGTGACAGTATCACCTCAAACTCCAACATAAGAGGTGTTCCCTTTTGAAAGATTGTCCACTGTGCAAACAATAAAATTCAAATAACCGTTATTTATTTCCATGTTATTTTTTTGCAAAGCCTCACCATGTCCACACTACTACGTTTCCATTTGAAAACGCATATGTTTTGCTACGTTGACACTGAGTGTCCACACTACGCCGGCGTTTTCGAGCACAGAAAACGGATATGATTGAAAACGCCGGGGTTGCTTTGTTGTATGGATGCCGTAAACTCATACATTTGGAAACGATCACGTATTCACTACTTGATTGGTTCTTAATAGTCACGACCTGATTCGTCACACGCCTATCACGTGACCGTTTCACTAAAAATTCACAAACAACAGCATTGATTACCGATCGACTACCAGGTTAATATAACATGGACAACTGATTACAGGTGTTGCTGACCATGTTGTCTTTAGCAGCTGTTGTTCAGTTAAAGTCTGCATTTTATAATTCTGCTGCTGCCGACATGTGGAAGAAGCAGCTGTTGTTGGAGCGATTAGCGAGCGGCGTGTCCAGCGGCGTGTCCAGCGACGTTATCAGACCTACGGAGCGGACGTCTGAAGTCGCGGTTAGTGGCTTTGAGGAGGACAGACACAAAACGGAGGACTTTCCTTTCCTTATTATTGTTTATTTTGTTCTGCACAACTATTGTGAAGTTCACAGATAAAATGTAAAGGAACAAAACATTGATTGCTCTCCACTAGGACAGAGACTTCAGCCACCAGCAGAGCTACGAGTGAGAACAGACAACAACGGAACCGAGGAAACGAGTGAGAGACGTGTGTTGACCTCATTTATGACCCATAATCTAGTAAACCTTTATGTGTAAGTGTTAATATTAAAGTAAATTTGATGAGAGAGCAGTGTTTCCCCTACCGTTATATTAGGGGGCGCCCCGCCCCCCCCCCCCTTGAAGGTCAAGTTAATTTTGTTTAATTTGATTTTCTATATAGTGCCAGATCACAACAGAAGTCATTTACGGTTACCTTTCCTATAGAACAGGTCTATACCTTGTTATTTTATTAAACAAACTAAATAGCCTTATGTTATTTATCTTATTTACAGACGGCATCATTTCTGTCTCTACATGGTCGCGCGTTTACAATTCTCCTCTGCTCTCTGTATCGCGCACGGAGTTCCGCCCCTATGCGCTCACACACACACACACAGAGACACGTGTGCGCACACTCCGACCAGCGGACAGAGAGTGCGCGTCTGAAAATATGTCACGTCAACCAGCTGAAAAGCAGACAACAATATCTGCGTTTTTGAAACGCTCCTATGTGGTGAAGATGCAACACTCGCTCTCCTGTGAGTAGCAGCCGGAGTAGCTCTCCTGCTCCGGGTCCAAGTACAGACAAGTGCACAAGTGCTGCAAGTGTTTGTGTCGGTGCCCGACCCCCAGCACTGTAACTAAGTCTGAAAAATAAAACTTCTAAAACTTTCCACGAACTGTCTGTTTGAGTTCATAGGATCTTCTCTAAAGTCTTCCTCTAAGTATCAAACACGACCTTTCATTATTAAAGACTACTTTATTACTCTGTTGTATTTTTTTAATTTAGCAACCAATCTACTTCCTGTTTACACCGGCACACACCCGCATGCCCAGTGTATGTGAATAGTCACGTGATATTCGTTTTCAGGCGTTTTTGTCTGGACGGAGATCATCTCAAACGATGCTGAAATGCCATGTGGACGGAGATTGACCTGTTTTTATGAGCTGTGCCTTACATGTAGCACTTCCATTGATTCATTGCTGCGGTCTATACTGTACAGTACATACACTTGAAGAGTAGCCTGTTCTTTGTTGGATGGTAGAAGGACTTCATCTTGTAATTTTCCTGAAAGCCAAACAGAAATAGCATCTTTTGACCAATGGATGGATCATACAATATAGTAAGATTGACCTTTACCTTCACTGAAGTGAAAACCAGAGTCCAGCTTGTCCTAATCTGGTATTCTTACACACTCCCTTATGAATTATTGTAGAACAACTCACTTTTAAAGCATGTAGCTGGTGCTAATATTAGTTTGATGTATTATGTTTTCATTTCAGCTTTCCGACACAGCTCACTGTTATGACACTGAACTTTGTTTTTCTAGTTTTTGACCTTAAAAACAAGTCTGGTTTTCATTACCTCATCGTTGGTAGACTACAGATCCAGATACATCAACAACACATATTATGTTTCATGCTTTACTGAAACATAAAATAAGGGATCAGTAGGGTTCTTGAAATGACTCTCAACAATGCTAAGAAACTCTTCACAGCTTTGTCTGACCTGGAAGGTAGAACCATAGCGGTTCTGTCCTTGTCCCTGTTGCCCAAAATTTGAAATGATACAAACTGTGACTTTCTAGACTTCTCTCTAGTCTGACCACTTTGTTGGTTTTGGATTACACTTTCAGGCTTCCTTAAAAGCTGATTAAATAAATTAATTGGTAAAGCTCTTTTATTATCAGGTCAAAGTCCATGCACTTAAACAGCTCTGTTAATAAAAGTTCAAGTTAAAGCATTGCATCTCATCCACATAGTGTATTATTATTAATACATTTCCCAATTCAACTGAAGCTGCCAGTGCCCAGTCAGACATGTCAGAGTCCAGGTCAACATGGGGTGACTCACCACAGCCAGAGGTTTCTCTAATGTCTCCTGCTTGTAGCAGTGAATACCTTCCTAGCAGCTGCAGGGTATCAGGTGTCCCGGCAGCGCTTCTCTGCCCACCATTTGCTCAGCTTGTGACAGACACCTATTGTGTGTTGGGGTTGTAATCACATCTCAGTGGCACACCCGGAAGTAGTAGATCATGTGTTGGTTTGGGTTTAACCAACGTGAGTTTATGACAACCAGTAATGTAGTAGATGGTAAAGTTTCGGGTTTGGTTTTAGGGTCCCCTGTTTTAGGGTCACAGTTCGGTACATCGGAACAAAACCAGTATACTTTTCTTTTCATTTATTTTGAACAGATAGCAGTGCAAATACAGACAATATCCTCTTTCTAGGGACTGAGGGAGCATTTTGCCTGCTGGCAACATTTTGGTAAACATTTGAAATACCTATGTATTACACTGTATAAACAAGACAACAGGCCACAATAGACTATAAAACTGAAAAGCATCACAAAATACATTGAATAATAAAAAATAAAACATGCATTAGGAAGAGTGTTGATTGACACGTCTGAGTGACTCACAGGCCAATCAGCTTCTTGTGCTAAATGCTGCTAACGGTGAACAGTTCTTGTGAACTTTGGTTCAGGACTACTTGTATTTATCTACATACTGTGTATTCTGTGTGACACCTGTATAGTGGCGGTCGGTGTGAATTCACAAACCGCTACAGCCCCATAATCCAATGTTTTACATTTTGAAGCAGCTAATCACAACCCAATTTTACCCGTTAGCATGTCCATGCCCAGATATATTTTCTTATTCTTTTCTTTACAGGCTACAAAAAGGTCTAAGAGAAACATGTATGGGACACATTTAAACCCAGAGTAACACAGATAATGACATGTTCTCAGTAGAATATCCAAGCATTATTAATCTAATTCATAATAAATATGTAATCAGATACCCTGTCCAGCTAACAGTATAAGAAAAGAGATGCAGTCCTGCCAGGAACAGGAGATTCAGTAGCACAAATATGTGATGCTGGGCGCTTGGTGATGTAGTGACATGAGGGTCTCATACACTGGTGGGGGGGGCAGTGTAAACATAGTAGGTGGTGCACGTGTGTACATTGATCTGGCTGATCATACATTTATGAACACATCCTCCCTTTCTATCGAAGCATATGCGCTTCTGAATTTTCACTGATCTGGAAACAACAGTGAAGCCATTGACACTTAACATGGATCAGTAAATGCTGCCTAAAAAGGAATGGTAGTTGGTAGTTATTTTCTTGGCGCTGAGATGTGGACGCCATGTCGATACAAGTAGCCTAAACATCGGCCTTTTTAGGGTTTGAGCTTTAATAAGAAGGCCAATGTATGTACTGGTTTACAGGCCCTGTTTGCAGCAGCATTGTGACATGTCATAGCAAACAGGTGTGATTGATCACATTCATGATG